TTTTATATGTGAAGACTAATGTACGTCATTTCGTGGTTACGTCACCATCTCCCATTTATTTATAAAAAAAAAAAAGTTCTGTCATTTCTACGTATGTACATATGTGCTTTATGTTTTTTATTATTTATTTATCACAAGTAAAGGTCAGGAATTGTTATCTTTCTTTTAAATTTTTTTTACTGTTTCACTTCATTACTGCTGGGTATGTGCTCCATGTGAGGGATGTAGGTGCTTATGTAGGTGGGTTCCGACTTAACGGCGAAAATCGCGTTAGGTTGCGCTGTCGAAACAGATCTCCCACGTAACCCGAGGACCTACTGTACATGAATTTCTCAAACATATGTCACATCATATTGTTTAGTTACTATTGAGACAAGGCAGTGGACATCTCACAGATTTAATCTGTATAAAACAGAAACATTTCTCAACAATTTTCTTTCTTAAGCAAATTAATGAATTCTCACCTGGGGGAACCTAGCCAATATGAACAAAATCCCTGCTGAAACACTCTGAAAACTTAGGAATTTCTTTGTGACTTGAGTTTATGGTTTAAAGTAACTGGACCACCCAGCCAGTGGCTCAGAAGTTGAGCATCAGCCTATGAACCAGGAGGTCATGGTTTGATTCCCAGTTGAGGCACTGTCTGGGTTGCAGCTTGGTCCCCAGTGTGGGGCATGCAGGAGTCAGCCAATCAATTATTCTCTCATCATTGATTTTCTGTCTCTCTCTCTCTCTCCCTCCCTTTCCCTTCCTCTCTGAAAGCAATTAAAATATATATATATTAAAAAATAAATAAATAAAGTAACTAGACTGTAACCTTAATTGTTTCAGTTCTATTGATTTTCAGTAAGTAATTAAAAGTACCCTGGAGTAGCATCAGTCGACAATAGTGTGACTGGCATTTGATGTTATTCAAAAACAACCTGAGAATGGTTATTTGACAGCCATGCACTTCTAAGGAAGTGATAAACTGGTGGCTATAATATATTCTCATTTGTCTGAAGATTTTTAACGATGAACAACAGTGGAAAAATTATTGAAGGCAGGTGTCAACAAACACTTTTTTGAAAAGGTCCAGATAAACGTTACAGGCTCTCTGGACCATATGGTCTGTGTTACAATTACTCAACTCTATCATTGTGGCACAAAGACAGCCCAGAACAATACATAGACAAACACAGAAGTGAGGCTATTTGTTCCAATGAAACTTTACTTCCAAAAATGGGTACCAGGCCCGATTTGACTTGTAGGTCAGCTGTCATCAAAACTAAGGGGTAGTTGATATTAATGAAACATAACTTTGGCAAACTTTCCAAAGACATTAAATTAAAGCATATATTTCACAGGAATCCTCTTGATTTGAATATGTGTACAATGTAGGCCTCTATTTTTCAGACCTGTTCGGCTGTGCCCAGGCTTTTGTGTTGAAAAGAGTATGGGATTTGCAGTCAAAGGTCCTGGGTTCAAGGCCTGTTCTCCTACTTGCTACCTGTGTGACCTTTAGCAAGGGGCTTCCTTCTTTCTTTATAAAATTAGACCATAAGAATCTTTAATTGTGAGAATTAATTGAGGTAATATTAATGAGAAGGATTTTGTAAAAATCACCTATAAACACTTAACTGCAGTAAGTTACTGTTACCATTATCTTGGGTCATTGGTTAACAAATGTCATTTTTCTGTCTGAGTATCTTCACAGGCTAATTAATCTGGGTACTTTCCCTAAGTGAGAAGTGGATTAATCCAAGAAGGAGAATCTGGCAATCAAATCTACTTCACTAAAATAATTAAGTTATCCATACATCATAAGGTTTTAGGAAATGTACACTCATAGAGAAATTAAACCCTAAAATTTGTAAAACAGAAAAATATAAAGAGAAGTGATAGTAGCTGATATAAATGACACTATGTATTTAAGAAAAAATGTTAGGGGGCAGGAAAATAGAGAAATAAAAGAAATGGAAGATGAAGGGTAAGTCACGGGGCAAAACTGAAATAGGGCCAACAATGGGAGTTTAGTGGGGAAAAGAATTCAAAAGGCAAAGTTAATGAAAGTAGGTCTAGTTCAAAGTAAACAACAGAGTCTGCAGGCAGAGCACTAAATAGAAAGCTTGCAGCTCTGGGCTTATCTGTCCTCATTATTAGTGTGACCATTTTGTCGTCTTCACTTTGATTCAGTTATTACACTTGAGATCTTCCCATTTGTATCTGTATTTTCTGACAGGCACCCAAAGATAAGGACCAGGCAAGCATTTCAAATAATAGCACACGGCTCTATTGGGTCTGCATTTTTAATCAGCGAAAGCTTCCTTGAAACAAGTGACACTCGTGTGCCCTGACTACGAAATGAGTTAAGATAAATGAAGATTAAATAACACACTTGTTAATCAGGATTTGGGGTAGACTTAAATTTTCACAGTCCATTTTCTTGCTCTCACTTTCTCGCTCTCTCAAGCCTGTATTCCTGCTTATACATTCTCACAACACACATCCACACCCACGCACGCCTGTCATACTTTCTCTACCCAGATGGATGAAATGGACTGAAGTTGGGTGCACCAATGTGTCTTTTATAATAAGTATTCACTGTCTCAGAGTCAGACAAATGAGAAGAAAATAAAAAGCATATTTTTTGAAAGCATAGAGAAATGACATTTCTATTTTTCTTCCTGTATGACTCAAACTAACCTAGTTAGGTACCACATTCATATTAAGTAGATATTCAGTTCTACCATCTGGAAAACAGAAGGTTAAAAGTATGACTGTTACAATTCAAGAGGATTTTGTTTTCATCTTCAAAAAGAAGTATTTGAAATATCTCTTCTTATCCCCATAGTTCTTTCCAGTCACTAGGTTATATGTGGACTTGGCTATACCAGCAAAAATATAAAAACATACTGAAGAATTGTGTGTTTTGTTATTTTGGAATTGTAATAGAGTTGGAAGTTTGGGCTTAATGGGAAAGGAAGAAATGCATTATTTTGAAGAGAGAAACTCATTACTTTGAGGAAAAGCACTTACAAAATTCTATGAAATACTATATAGGGTTTCCAAAGATGAAAATAATTTTTGAAAAAAAAATTAAGGTCAAAATATTAATGGCATTTTAATATTTTTTTCTGTGTTTAACAATAGAGGAAAGTGAGTTTTAGATACTTCCTAAATATCCCAGGGGGGAAATGCATGTTCTGGTGGTTGTACCACATCTTTGTTTCATATTTAGCATATTAGGTATTATTCAATAAAGAAAAGCAGAATTTTGTGAGGCCTTTCTCCTGGCATGAAATCCTCCATCTTAATAAAAGAAGACATATTCAATACTTTTTTAATACTTTAAGCAATAAAACAATAATAATAAAAAAAATAAATCATCGTTTGTGATTCCAAACTCAAACCCCTTAATGTTCTTCCAAAAGCCTGAAATAGTCCATATATATACTAAGTGTCCAGTTGGCCGATCAGCCGTTCAACCAATCAAAGCATAATATGCTAATGTATGCTAAGGCTGCTCAACTGCTTGCTATGGTGTACCCTGACCACCAGGGGCTAGATGCTCCAACCAGTAGGTTAGCTTGCTACTGGGGTTGGCTGATTGGGACTGAACGAGACGGGCTGGACATGCCCAGTCTCTCCCCAGATGGCCAACCTCCTGCATCCCTCCCCTGCCCCAATCATGCATCCGTGGGGGTCCCTTGGCCTGGCCTGCACCCTCTCACAATCCGGGACCTTTCGGGGGATGTCAGAGAGCCAGTTTCAGCCCGATCCTGCAGGCCAGGCCGAGGAATCCCACTGGTGTATGAATTTGTTCACCGGGTCTCTAAAATATATGTATATATATTTTTAATTCAATGATAGAGAAAGCAGAAGACACAGTTAGAGGTTTCCCTCAGAACTCTCCTCACCCAGGTCAGTTATGGTTGCTACCACCAAATAGAAGTACACAGTACAGATATCTGCCTTTAAAAGTTTAATTTTACAATAGGTTTTCATTTTATCTCTATTCCCCAACTCACTCAAAAGACAGTAGTTTCCAAACATAATGAGATGATTATTTTACTCAGTAAGTAGAGGCAGGAAGACTTGAAAGAATGACCTTTATTGGATTAAAATTGCTTGTCTCTATATTGCTTTTTAGATAATTATAGATACCTGAAGTAATCAAAACATGTATTTAAGATTTGCAGAGCAGCTTGTCAAAGTCTGTTTGCTTAAGAATACCGTGTTTTGCTCTTTTTTTAAAAATGCTTTACAGAAGAAACACTCCACTGTGGTAACATATGATGAAAGTGACACTGATTTGGAATGTAAATATATGCAGGGTATTTTAAACTGACAGCGCTTTTTATGTAAAAATACTTTAAAAAATATACACTATATTTGAAATTCAATTGACAGAGATTAAAACAATAGCAATCATTCTATTCTAATTTTTAAAGTATACATAGCAAGAGAATATTTACTCAAAGATATACTTTTTTTTTACTTTGTTACAAAAGAATGAATACCTTACTCAGTGTGTTTTTTGTGTTGTTGTTGTTTTTTAAATACTTGGCTATGAAGTGGAACTGGTTGAAAAAATGGATTTTCATTAAATTGGATTATATGAAATTGCTGATATAAAAAATTATTTTTAACCTACACAGAGGGTAATTTCACATGATTCAACCTCATGTATAAGTCTGCCTCAAAGGAATAACCTCTCCAAATACAGATACTTTTTAAAACAGCAACTCTTTTATGTTTTATACTAGAGACCTGGTGCATGAAATTTGTGCACTCAGGTGGGGGGTGGTCCCCCAGCCTGGCCTGTGCACTGTCACAGTGTGGGAGCCCCACGATCGATTGCCCCAAAGAGGTAGGCCCTGCCCACCCATCCGGGGCTCCTCGATGGATTGCCCCAAAGAGGTAGGCTGGAGCCAGGGGTCCCGCCTCTGAGCCATAAAGAGCCAGGTTGCAGGACCCCCAGACCCTCAGGCAGGCCTCGCCTCATGGAGTCAGGGGACCCACCTCCTCCCGGCCCTGCATGCGGAACTGGAAGGAGGCGGGACTCCTAAGCATTCTCCATGCTACACACACAGAGTCAAGCCCCGCCCCGCCCACCTGTGCATGCCCACTGTGCATGCAGCCATCTTGTGATGGCATGAGGGCATCATGGCATGATGACCACTTAGGCTTTTATCAGGAAGGATATTTTGCAAGGGACATGCCTATAATATCACCTTACATTTCACAACAACACCACTTGTAATTTATCAGATAAATATTTGTTCATGCAACATCCCCATTTTATTTCCTGGAAATCATGTGGAAACATTTGGAATCTGCGTGGATTTAAAGCTCTAATCTAGACTCACATTTTTAAGGTGTTAAATATGGCCATTGGTTTGCCAGGACACTTTAAGGAGTTGTGTTACATTTATACACCTATGTATTCACTATCACAATCAAAAGTAAAACATTTCCTTTCCCCATCTATGCCCCTACATCCCTAGGCAACCACTGATCTGATTTCTATCACTTTAGATTAATTTTGCCTTTGACAGGACTTACAAAAGTGGAGTTATGTAGTATGTACATTTTTGTTCCAGGCTTCAGCCAGCATAATGTTTTAGACATTCATCCATGATGTTGTGAGAATCAGTAATTCATTTCTTTTTATTGGTCTTCTGTAGCGTTCCACTGTATGGCTATATCATAACTTTGTTTATCTATTTACCTGTTGAGGCACTGCTATCAGTTTTTGGCTGTTATGACTAAAGAGGCTATGACTACTGTGTATAAGACTCTATGTTTTAATTTCTCTTGGGCAAGTACCTAGGAGTGGAATTGCTGAGTCATGTATGTTTACCTTTAATATTACCAAATTCTTTTTCAAAGTAGTAATGTTACTGGATGAAGTGTGTATGGGGGGTCCTCTTCCCCACTGGGTGCTGCTGGGGGTGGAGTTCTTGCAATACCTCAAGAAAAGAGGATGAGATATGGTAGAAAGTTTTATTTCCAAGGAATTATATTCCAGGGTTTCTAAAGTCCCATTTTCCTTTCCCTAGCGATAGAAGAAGTATAGCTGGGGTTTCAATAAAGCTGGAAGCAAAGCCACTGTCCAGAGTTTCTGTTCCATGTTGCAGCCCAGTCCAGCACAGCATCAGACCAGCTGCAGTCCATTAGTCCATTGTGTGTGTGGGGGGGTCTGCATAGCTGTGGGCCACATGGGAGAATGCAGGAGAGCATGCCCCATGAACAAGAGTTCCAAGGGTCCCGAAAGCATAAGAGAGCAAATTCCTTTGTTCAGGGGATTAACTATGCCAAATCTTCAAATGCTTGCAGTGGCCATACCTATTCTGGTCAATGACCTTTGTTCCCAGGTGAGACTGACATACACATACCTTTCCTATGTCCAACTTTACTGGGCATGCATCTATCTTCCCTTTGTCCAGTCCCTATCCCCCAATGTTTTGCAGGGGACATGCCTATAATATCTGGCCTTCCCTTTGTTCCTTTCCTATTAGCTAATTACAATGGTATTAGTAACAACTTGATTTTTAAAAAACATTTTATTGATTTCGGAGAGGAAGGGAGAGGAAGATAGGGATAGAAACATCAATGATGAGAGAGAATCATTGATTGGCTACCTTCTGCACGCCCCCACTGGGTATTGAGCCTGCAACCTACGCATGTACCCTGACCGGGAATCAATCCATGACCTCCTGGTTCATAGTTCAACGCTCAACCACTGAGCTACGCTGGCCAGGTGCTGTCTTAATATTTTTAATGGCAAAAATACAGTTCATTTCCTTTCTATAATATCATGTCTTCCATTTCATGAATTCTCCTCTTCTGCCCCAACTATTACAAGATGACAGAATCAGACAACAATGAAAATAAAAGTGCTCAGGTTCTTCAGTCTTTAAGTCGCACAAAGCAAGGCAATATTAGGTGTTTGACTAGTTGTTAATAACAGCTTGAAAATGTGTCACTGGGCTGTAAGCATTTTCTGAAGTTCAGCATTTTAGCATTTTAATGTGCAATATTTTATAAGGGAGAGGCGGGTGGGAGAAGTTGCACATCTAGCTTCTATTTCCTGTTGATTGCAATCCCCTTTGTCAGTAACCTGCTTGAACTGCCAAAACCTTCAGGAGCCTGATTGTAGAAGCCTCCTGTTAAGTGGGAAAAAGTCTCTCCTGCCTCTTAGCAAATCAAGGTAAACATGTCAACACATTATGGAATGGGGTAAACTTTTGAATTTGTGAACATCTGATGAGGAGATCTTTTTGATCAGAACTTTTATGTTGGTTCAAAAGGCAGGACTAGTTATCTACTTTGTTTACTCTCAGGTATCTGAGATGGTTAAATACACATGCTGGAATTTTGGGTTAGCTTTCTGTGAAATGTACTTAATACATGGGCTGTTGTTTCCCCTGACTTCTGGTATTTAAAACTGGAAGTCCTGCTTCTAGGATATATAGTACCTAGATATTCTAAAATAGATATATTAAATCCAGTACCAAATGCAGTTAGATTTTTTTCTTGGGTGTTTCAGCATACTTGTATAAGTTGTTAAAATACTTGTTTTGCTGAATTTTTATTAACACATTCTTAGTGAGATAGTAACAATATCACTGAGAAATATATTGTACATCTCTATTAAGAGTTTTTTTAATTATTGTATTTGGAGATATTCAGAAGTTGGTAGAAACTCTAAATACTAGTAATTTAAGGATTCTAAAAATATTATGATGATCCTAATATTCCAACTAATAATAACCACAGCTATATTTATCAAGCACTTATGTTCCAGGTAGTGTTCATAGGGCTTTCTGTGTGTTATTAATCACAACAATCCTATGAGGGAGGTAGTACTATTATCCTCATTTTAAACATAAGGAAACTGAGGCACTGAGAGGTTAACTACTCTGTTCTAGGTTACATAGTGAGTGTTAAAGCTGGAATGTGGCCAGAACCGGTTTGGCTCAGTGGATAGAGCGTCGGCCTGCAGACTCAAGGGTCCCGGGTTCGATTCTGGTCAAGGGCATGTATGTTGGTTGCGGGCACATCCCCAGTGGGGGGCATGCAGGAGGCAGCTGATTGATGTTTCTCTCTCATCGATGTTTCTGGCTCTCTATCCCTCTCCCTTCCTCTCTGTAAAAAATCAATAAAATATATTTTAAAAAAAAGCTGGAATGTGAAGTCAGTCCAACCATACAATGCTAATATTTCACTTTATTTTTTACTTCTTTTGACTTTATTTTTAATTTATTTTTTTTATTGAGGAGGGGGGAGGGAGAGAAACATCAATGATAATAGAGAATCATTGATCGGCTGCCTCCTCCACACTGACATACACACACACACACACACACACACACCCCCGCCGCCACTGGGAATCGAGCCTGCAACTCGGGCATGTGCCCTTACAGGGAATCGAACTGTGACCTCCTGGTTCGTAGATCAATGCTCAAGCACTGAGCCACACCAGCTGGGCTTGACTTTAATTTTTAAAATCAGTTAGGTTCACAGATAAATTGAAGGGAAGGTGCAGAGATTTCCCATATAACCCTGTCCCCACCCCATCCCCAATGTGCATCACCTCCATTATTAATATCCCTCACCAGAGTGGCACATTTGTTACAATGGATGAACCTATACTGACACACTATAATTACCAAAAGTCCACAATTTAAATTAGGGTTTGCTCGTGGTGACACAGGCTGAGTCTCTTTTAAATGGATGGGAATACTCTACAATTATTATTATTTTAAGTCTCTCCTAGATAAGTTTAAAGTTTATCTTCAGGCCAAGAGCTCTGCGTCTGTGCTGGTGGATAGCAGCCAACATGGGAACCTGGAAAGCAAAGAGCTCCTAGAAAACAGAGAACTTCACTTGCCTGTGTGAATAGCCTTTCCAGGAAAAAGCCAGGTCCCAGCAGCAGTCAGGGCGGGGTGGGACAGAACCATGCTGTCTTAGAGTATGCTCTTTCCTTGGTGCACCAAGCTTCTGCCTTTTCTCCTTTCCCTCCACTTTGTTTTCAGCAAAACTCTTTTTTGGAATCTGTTTTTCTTCCTCTTCTGATTTCTATCTTGGAGGAGGGAGTGCAACATCCCCTTTGCTGGTGACATCAGTATTATACTATCTAGTAGAGGTCCAATGCACAAATTTGTGCACAGGTGGGGTCTGATCAGGCCAGGGGGAGGGGCCGAGGGAGGTTGGCCATCAGGCCCTGCCCCCGATTGGGAAGGCTGGCCAGCTGCAGTGCACATCATAGTAACTGGTGGTTCCAGTTGCTTGACATATATATATATAGATAGATGGGTTTAGACAAATATATAATGGCATGTGTCCATCATAATGGTAATATTCAGAGTATTTCCTTCCATTTGTTTATGTCTTCCTCTATCTCTTTTTCCAATGTCCTGTAGTTTTCTGAGTATAGGTCTTTCACATCCTTGGTTAAGTTTATTCTTAGGTATCTTAATTTTTTTGGTGCAATGGTAAATGGGATTATTTTTTTCATTTCTCTTTCTGTGAGTTCATTATTGGTGTATAAAAAGGCCATAGCTCTAAATTTCTGGGTGTTAATTTTGTATCCTGCTACATTGCCGAATTTATTTATTAAATCAAGTAGTTTTTTTATGGAGTTTTTAGGGTTTTCTATGTATAATAATCAGCGAATAATGATAGCTTTACTTCCTTCTTTCCAATTTGGATGCCTTTTATTTCTTCTTCTTGTCTGATTGCTGTGGTTAGGACTTCCAGTACTATAT